CTCCCTTCGTAATTCCCATTCCCCAGCCTCTGTGCCACAGCCACTTGCAGAAAATATTGTACTCCTCCAACATACTGAAAAAATATAGCCCATCATGTGGGCAAAATCTGAGCTATGTGAGGCCACAACAGCAGTGCTCCATCTTTAGCACATTCGCTTACAGATGTATTTTGACAGCAGTTATTTTTTTATTTATTAGTCCTATTGCATTTATATTGAACATACCTTATACAAGTCTATTTCAAGAAAGGACCTTAAGCTATGTCGAGACAGGGCACCATTATCCTTCTCATCTCCCAAACTGGGAAGCCTGTGACCCAGAAAGGAGAAGCAGCCTTCCTTTGAAGGGACAACTAGTCAGAGGTAAAACCATGAAAAAAAAGCCAATCTCCTGACTCCTGATCAATGGCTGTACTCACTAGCCCATGTGACTTTTAGACCTGTCCAGAAAATAACCATCTGTGGTAAAGAAATTGGGAAATTAAAGGACATTTCTACATCAAAGGCTTTCTTTCAGCACTGATGCAAACAGAAAATGTGTCACTCCTCTGACAAAGCACTGGCAAAAGGCCCCACCTTGCAATCTGTCTATTTGCATATACAGGTCAGGAAGGGAAAACCCTCCCTTCCCTGTGTGCTGGACCTTCTTGAAAGGTTAATGATTATGTTTAGCTAGAAGTAAAGTTAAACTTCATGAAAGGTTTCTCTGAGCAAATCCTTGACTCAAGTGCTTTCTCTGACTGCCCCACACAGTGACTGCCATTCTGTGGGCAGAGGCAAGTGAACAGCAATGACTTCAAGGTATTGGGCATATTATCCTGGGAAAGAAACAACCTTGGAAAACAAATTAAAAGCTTAAATATCATAGGTGAAAAAAGGATTGATTAGACAACAGCTTAACTAAAAATCACAAATGCTGTAGAGCCTATGAATAACTTAACTGTTATGCAGTAAAACGTCAGGGTTATCCTGTTAAATGAGCAGGCAGCACTGAAAGTAAAGGATAAACTTTTCCCACCTAGAATACAAAATTAGAAAGATTCACTGTCAGGTGATGTCAGGGAGGTTAGACATAGACAGACTCCAAAGAGGATTAAACAAATTAATGGAGGACAGATCCATTAGTGATTATGAAGCAGGATGTCCCCAAATCCAGCTTTGGCTAAGAACAGTCCTTAACTGCTGACTGTCAAAAGATGAGGAGACCCTTCCATATCTATCTTTTCTCTTGTAATTCTGCCCCCACCATCTGCTACGAGCTAGGATCAGCCACAGTACAGTCACCATACAGACCAATATGGTCCAACCCACTGAGTCTCGTTCTTTCTTGCACAGGAGATTGCAGCCAAGATCTTTTCTGCATTACTCCTAAACGTCCAGCATAGCACAGATATGTAATTTCTCCCAGGCTATACACATATCCTCACCCTGCAGTGCCTCCCCTTACAGGGCAATGGACTGTTCTCATGACACAGCCACCACAATAAAGCCAAGACAGAAAAAATTATGTAGGGTCTGAGTTTGTGCTGAGATCACAACAGGTGACGGATGTGACTCCAGGAGACTCCTGGGTGGCCTGAGGGTCACAGGGGATGGTGGGACTGTGGCAATCCTCCCAAGCAGCCCTGGAGATCTCCTCCCAGCAGATTTCCTTCAGCAAAAGCTCAATTTCTGAGAGCCTGACTGTACCCACACAGTAGCTGCAAGGGATAAGAGATGGCCACTTTTTGTTTCCTCTGAACGCCTTTAATTTTCTCTAAAGCACAGCATCCGAGAGAGGAGAGGATCGGAAACACCAGAAATCCTGGAATAATTGATAAGAAAGAGAACCATCAGGAACGCCGCGAGCCTAAGCCTGGAGCGCCCTCTAGGGGTAACAGACGGGTGGGCTGCGTACCCCAACCCACTCCCTCGGAGTCCTGTACCAAACCAAACCTTTCCTTAGGGAAGTCATGGCAAGGCTTCATATAGCCTGTAGTTGCCCGGACAAAAAAGGAATGGTATTGATGGTTGGCTGGATTCTCCTTCTCTTTGTCCTATTTTTCCCAAAGGCTGCTGCCCGAGTTCCAGAAGGCATTACTTTGGGAAAAGTTCTTCTCCATTAAGACAGTGATGGAGTAGTATTGAGACAGGGATGCCTTGGCATTACAGTAATAATTGCAAAATAAAGATAATTTGAGACTGAGCACACCCCTAGACGTTGGTCCAAACACTCCCCAGTGCAAAAGTCTGGCTCCAGTGCCACAGGAGGAAAGCTAGCTGGATGCCAAGTTCCACAGGCCCTCAGAAACCCACTCAGTGCTTGCAGCAGTGAGTCCAAAGCTTTGCTCATAGCAGGCCAGAGCTTAAGCAGAACCTGCCAGTTCCCTTATTTTGGCTGCCTGCTCCCTCCTCACCCGGGTTCCCACAGAACAGAATAACAAAACCACATGTGCTGAAAACATATTCCCAGGGAGAGCAAATGGGAGAGGGCTCAGCTACCAGAGAGAACTAAATAGACTACATAGGGGCAAATTTCACACAAGGCAAAATGTAGCAGACAAGGGAGCTTCTCCCTCTGCATGTGTCTGTCCTGTGGCCCCAAACAATGCCCGTGGTTTGTGTCAGGCTGTGTTTAAGTTCGTGCCATTACCAACATGCTATGCGCAGGAGTCATTACCCTTCTGCTGCAACCAGAGCACAAAGTGTGTGTGTGTGTGACAAACATGGTTCCCCTTCTGCTCAGACTTGGAATAAACATGCAGGAGCACTTGCAGAAGCTACATAAATACAATTAGGAAGCAAATTTTGCAGCTGCTTGTGTACCTGTACCAGCAAGTCAATTTAGGGAGTCATATCAATACTGATCCCTGAAGGACACCACTAGTGACCAGCAACCAATCCCCACCACTCTGCGCCTGGCCATCAGCCAGTTCTTAACCCAGTGGAGAGTGCACCTGCCCAAGCTGTGGGCTGGCAGCTTTTCCAGGGATATGCCATGGGAGATGCTGTCGAAAACTTTGCTGAAGTCCAGGTAGACATATCCACAGCTGAGCATGTGGGCTCAATTAGCAACATTCTCAGGCATTAGCCACCCCAACTTCCACACCACACAATAGGCCTTTGTTTGGAGCCTGGCACTGCATGAGGAGAATTGGAGCACAGCTCCAGAAGAAGCCCTGCCAGCAGATGTTTTGACTTGCAGAACATACAAGTTCTCCCTGGTTTTAATGCTTGCATTGCATCCATGAACTAATGAGGAGTTAGAGGTTGGAAATACTCTCTTGAATCAACCAGAGTAGAAATACTGTTGACAGTAACAAAGCCAACCATTACTGGCTCCAACTGGCAAAACTATTCCCTAGGGCCCTATCTCCAGACTTAATTGCCACAGAATGACCAACCCAGACACAGTAGAGAGCTCCCATCTTCTCTGGACACAAGTGTCACCACTATGATTTAGGGCCCAGCAGGCTCTCCATGAGATGCTGCTGATGCCTCACACCAAATCAAGACTCAGGTTCTGAATATGCTTCTATAGACTGAGATGAGAGCATGTCTAAGTGGTAGCTGTGATGATTCTCACTAAATTGCCTGGAACCCTCTCATGGATTTCAGTAGCATACTCTTCCTCAAAGGGCACAATGGAAGCACAGCCTGGTCTTTAACTTTTACACATTACAGCAGACACTAGGCAGCAGGCAAACGATTGAAGAAATGACTATTAGACTGAAACTTTAAGTTTCTGGGACTCAGAAATGGACAAGCTATGGAAACCACTTCATCTCCAAAAGAAAACAAGTTCTCAGAAGGGAAAAAGAAACCCAAACCAATCCTAAACAAGGAAGAAAAAACAACTCCAAACACCTCTGTCCTGGTTTTAGCCAGGATGGAGTTAATTTTCTCAATAGCTAGTGTAGTGCAGTGTTTGGATTCAGAGTGACAATACATTGATGTTTTGGTTTTGCTAAATTGTGTTTATCCTAAACCAAGGACATTTTCTTACTTGTGTCTTATGCTCTGCCAGTGAGAAGATACACAAGAAACTGGGAGGGAGCATAGCTGGGACAGGTGAGCTGAACTAGCCAAAGGGATATTCCCCACCATGGCACGTCATGCCGATCTGGGGTAGGTTTGGGGTTGCTCCAGTCCGTGGGTAGTGAACAATTGTATTGTGCATCACTGATTTTGTTCTTTTTATTATCCATTAGCATTTTAGCTCGTTCTACTCTTTATTACTGAACCCTCCTGAGGACTAGAAAACAGAAATCTTCCTTGGTAGGATGGTCCATGAGCTGAAAGCTAGGCTACTGTCAGGGCAAGTGTCACCTTGTAGGTCTTAGGATTTCCTGTAGCTGCAGGAACACTGGGGAAAACAGAGTTTTAACTTGGTCACGTATGGCTGTCCTTTATATTTTTATGACTGAGAATCATATTCAATTCCAGCCTAGGTCAGAACTTGTTTTTCAGTTCCCTCTGTTTGTCCAGAAACCACTGTGGAGCCATCTGACATGTGGTAGGTACCATTTCCTACCAGCCTACACTGTTCTAGTCTGCACACGATCAAACAAGCTCTCTGGAGTCCATTACTGTTTTTCAGTAGCAGCTTCCTATTACTGCAGGGTTTTGCTGCCAGTCTTTGGACAATGTTGAGATTCGTATCCTTTATCAATGTACTAAGCCTCTGGGATATAGCAGTACAGATTTTGAACTTCTTGGAGTTCTTACTACAGCAGAACTAAGGAAAGCAAAGCCAAGTCCTTCCATCAATTGTGATGGATCTCTGTGTAATTAAGTAATACATCAGCTTGCAACACTTCTTGCTCTGAGCCGGGAGGCAAAGGTCAGTTCCAGATGACAAGCTTAGAATCCCGTCCTGTTCTAAAACAAGTGGAGTCATGTGAACTGCTCATCACTACAACCTCACAACATACAGGGCCCCTTCACAGCAATGCTCTGATTGTACTGTCATGTGATTCACACATCCAAGCCCACCCCCACCACATTCCCTGCATCCATACCTCTGTTTCAGGCCTTGGAATAAATACCGGAGGTCTCATCTTCAGCGTCAGGTCCTGGAAGTCCCACTCACCAAGCACATACTGCACTGGCATCCTGTGGCAGACAAAAGCCAGTGTGAAAGCTGTGGGCCTACACTCTGTGACCTAGGGAAGCTGGGGTTGTACCATGCTTACCTCACTGCCAACCCCACACCCCTTCTGAGGGCGAGCCCACATGCCCAAGGCTCAACTGCATGAGCAATGTGTGTGTGCACATACTCAGGGAGCTGTGGGAGCTCCAATCCCACAGTTGAGTTTGTTACCAAGGACTGGACTCAGGGAACAACAGGCCAATCAGCCTCACCTTGATACTGAGGAACGTGATGGAACAGAGTCTTAGAGGCTTTTTCCAAACATAGTAAGTACAGGAAGGTGGCTGGCAGTAGTCAGTATGGATTTATGAAGGGGAAATAATTCCTGACTGACCTGACAGCCATGCATGACACAATGACCATGAGGAGAGCAATCAATACTGTATACCTTGACTTTCCAAAGGGGTTTGATACTGTCTCCCATAACTCTCTCATATACAAGCTCATGAAGTATGGAATAGATAAATGACGTGGACTGAAAACTGACTGAACTGCCAGGCTCAGTGGGCTGTATTCAGCAGCACAAGGCTCAGCTCAAGACCAATCACTAGTGGAGTACCCTGGGGTCAACAGTTGGGCCAATATATAACACCTTCACTAACGACCTGAAGGGATAGAGAGCACCCCTGTCATGTGTGCAGGTGACACAAAATTGGGAGGAGTAGTTTACAGATCAGATGGGTCTGCTACTTTTCAGAAGGACCTCTGGAGAGAGAAATGGGGTAACAGGAGTCTCACAAAATTCAACAGAGCATGTAAACTGGGGTGGAATAACCCCATGCACCAGTACAGATTGGGGCTAACCAGCTGGATAGTGGCCTTGCAAGAAATACCCTGGAGATCAGGTGGACAAGTTTTGTGTATCACTTCAATCATCATAAGAGACCAACACAGCACTGCTACTTGACATCTGAGGTGCTATTGTCTGCTACCTTATCTCTTCTATCATTCTTCTGGCTGCTTTAGGGCTGAAGAAAAACCCTCCAAAGGAACAATTATAAGAGGATGCTCCCACCTTTCTAGTCGTTTGTTGCTCAGCTGCTGGATTTGCTCCTGCTGCACTGCTGTAAGTGGAGTGTGGAGGATCTTGGAATTCAGGCTCTGAAACTGAAGACAAAATCCCTTTAAAACCTGCCCACCTGTGCCACTGGGTTGTCCTCTGCCACCCTGCCAAGGTCATCCTCCAGGGAGACCCAGGACACTGACGATCACATGTGCCTGTGACTGCTGGAAACCACAAGTGATGAGCAGAACATGTTTAGAAACAAACCTATACAACTATTCTTCTGCTACTTTTCAGGACTCACAAGAATAAATTACATTAAGAATCATTTCATCAGGCTAGTCAAGGGCTGTGTGTACATCATGGGTTACACTTCAGTCTCTGCAAAAGAGAGCATTTAAGAGACCCCAAGTGTTCTATTGGTGATAGTAAACTATGCCTCACCCTCTCTGCCATCTGAGGAAGGATAAGTCGTTCTACTTCCCGTAAGTGAGATAAAAAGGAAGGTATGGGATTCAATCAAAATGACAGAGTGAGAGACACACACAGACCTTATTCTCTTCCTATTACTTAACTGTTTTTGCTCCCAGGACAAATGACACAATATATTGACTGGATTCTCGTGCTTCAGGGATCCCATTTGTCTCAAACACCTTCTGCCAGTAGTTGACCATATCAGTGGCAGTCACGAGCCCAAGCCTTGCACTGCAGCTCTGTCTCAGAGACAACTGCTTTGGACTGAGGATAGAACCTTTGCTTGGACTCAATTGCCTTGGCACACACTGATGTGAGAGGCACAACCACCTCCTGAGAAGTGGATGGGTGAAGCTTCTCATTGTGGCAGACTTTCTGGCTTCCACACGTGTTCCTCGTGGTCCTCTGCTGTCCTAGTCAGTGCTTAGATTCACAGGACACTTCATGCTACCACAAGCCACTGTGGCTAAGCACCAGCTGACCACAGTCAGTGGGTTCTCCTCAGGGCAGCATGAAAACGGCACTGGTTTGCAGCTCTTCTGGTCTAGAAAAAAGAGCAAGAGCAAAGCCTGAATCCATCAGGCTAGCAAATCACAGGTTGCCCCCTGACAGAATGCAGACTGCTTGCCCTAATCCCAGCCCACAGCTACAGAATCAATTACTCACACCTTAAGAATAACAAAGAATTACCACCAAAATAAGACATGGGTAACAGCTAACCAGCTCAGCCACTGAAATCCACTTCTTCACAGAGCTGCCCATCTAGAACTACCAGGAAGCCAGTCCGTGCCATGGCAGGCAGAAGTAAGTACCCACACAGAGGCACAGCTCTCCTGCCTGTCCTTGGTCCCAGACACACCAACCCTTGGGTCACCAGCCCATGGCTGGGTCACTCTGGTTCCCTGAAAGAAGACCTTCAGTCCCTCTCTTTCTTTTATTCCTCACTCTATTCACAAACCACAAGTCCTAGGTTAGCACGGATGCTCACAGAAGACCTGGACTCCATGGGTCAGGGGTCTTCCACACTGTCACCATCCTCAGAGGTCACAGAGCCAGAGCTGAGCTGCTAAGAGCAGAGGAAGGAGAAAACCTCACAAGGTACTAGAGAGAAGAGAAACACTCGGAAAGGCCAGAAAGGGCAAACCCTGCCAGAAGGAAGTCAGTCTCTTCAAGGAGACAAGAGGCAGAGCCAGACAGAGGGGGAATACAAACAACCAAGATGACTGCAGGAGACAAAGGAAATGAAACTTTACAACAGAGCTGCTGCCTATCACACTTGGAACTGTGCAAGACAAACAGAACAACAACATCATTTTCCTGCTGTGATCCATCAGAAATGAGAGCCCCCCTCCCTTCTGACTCACAGCCCCTGGGGCAGCTGTGGGTTTCCCTGAACGCCCATTCCCATTCCTCTATTGATGGCTGCTTTTCAACACTGTCTCGGAGAGGCCACAACCTCCTCTACTCCAATTCCTCCAGAAAACCACCGCAAAATCCCTCTCCTGAGCACCCTGCAGCGCCCAGTGTCGGCGGCTGTCCCGCAGGAACGCCGCTGCAGGGATCGCTGGGAGGCTCCCGCCTGGCACACACCGGCACTGCAGCATGCTGTGCCTGGGGCACCTGCCCTGCTCCCGCTGCACAGTGAAACCGTGGGAACAGACAAAACTCCACTGCTCTCCTTTGTAAAATCAAACCAAATTGCGCCCAGAGAAGCAGGAGAAGGAAACTCCTGCAGCAAAGGTATCCAGATTGGCTTACCTGCTGCCTCCCGCCTCCTTCTGCTGCTCTAAGGGCCCAAGAATCCCCTTCTTACCACCTGCATTACTCTCAGCAGAGAACAGTCCCTATGAAAACTTGCCTTTGTGTTATGCATAAGCAGCCAGTCAGCTACGGTATGTAACCAAGTAGCTCCCCACTCCGAGGCTCTGTATAGGGCATACTGCCACAAGAGGAGCACTAAAGCAGTAAAACACCAACAACCGTTAGTGTTATTTGGGAGGCAGAGAAGACCTTAACCGGCCGTGGCTAGAGCAATGCTATCATTATTGTCGTTATCAATAAAGGACACGGCTAACGAGGCGAGCTGCCTGCATACCACTTCTGGGTGCAAATACCTGTTTGCACACAGGGAGGGAATAGAGTTGTTTTCCCCTGCAGTTATGTGGTTTGGTCCTTGCAGCCCCCAGTTCCCACTCACTGCAGTCCCACACGTACACTGCTGGCTGGGGACGGGCCTGGCCAGCGCCTCTCTCGGCCGTGCCCTACGCTCCCCGTCTCAGTCCCAGGCTCGGGCGAGAGCAGCGCACCAGGCACCTCTCGGCCGCAGGACAGCGCTCAGCCGAGCCCAACCG